TACAAAGTGTTACCAAAGGGAGTTAGTGTAGGAATCAGTCTACTTATACGTGTGTGACAATGACCCATATGCTCAGCAGCTCTGTGGCAAACAGCCTTTATTTCCTGTCTCGGTGATCTCACCTGCATCCTGCCTGCTGCCTGTCACTGCTGGGGCTGCTCCAACATTCCAGTGAGGGAGTTCAGCTCAGTAGAGATTCCAACAGCTGCTTTTTTGTTTTGTTTTTTTGAGTGTGCTGGTTTTGGAATAGTTGCTTCTCCCTTCTCTGATTTCAGTGGCTAAAGGGTGGCATCTGAGACTGTTCAGGTTTTATGTCAATGACTTTTTAGAAAAGTACTCTCTCACGAACCCCTGAGAAATGTTGGGGAGGGGTTGTTTTGGGTTTTTTTTCTCCTCCCTCCCCAAGAGACAAGGCATTTTGGACTTGTCAGTAGTTTAAGGTGCTAATTTGTGGAAGCTTTCTAGTTTCCTAGTCTTTAATTTGCACTACTTTTAATATGAAGAGAAACGATTTAAAGTAGAGAAATTCCAAGTTCTCATTCTGTGTTTTGTTCCTCCAGAATTCATGCACAGTGATTCATCGTAGTGGGAAGTTACAAGAAATGCTAATAGAAGAATGTGAGATAGAAGTGTACTGGTTTTTTTTTTTCCTTTTTTTTCTAAAGCCTGGCTCACGCAAGCCATGAGTGTGCAGGTTTGTAGGGTCTGCATAGAGGCCTTGGTGTGATGTGTCTGGTGGGCCTCTGCTGATACAGCCTCACTGGATAGTATAGTTGAACCCTTAGGTTAATGTTTGATCCTCTCTTGGTTTCTGTACTTGTAACCTCGTGCCGACTGAAATGACAGCTTTCTTGTAAGCCAAGAGACAACAACCTCAGCCATGGTCCCTTTCTTCTTGCAGAAGCTGGAACACTTGCTACAAGGATGCCAGGGTGCTTGTGCCTTCCTCCAGGGAGCCATTCATAAAGTGGAATCTGGAAGACTACCAGAAAGAGCAGAGGTAAGCATGTCCCTGGCCTCCAGTCAGAGACAGGCCTGGCACAGAAGAGAGCAGGAGGCTGGATAGCTGCAGCAAAGCTGTAGCTTTGGATTTGCACGCTGTAGTAGCCTGTATGTTACCTGTGCAGGTCCGGGCTCTTAAGAGCAGTAGGAGCTAGCTGTGAGTGGAAAATGGGGCTGGCAAGCTTATTCTTGCTATGCCCAGCAAGTGGAGTATGGACAGCGATAGGAATTGGGTTTCAATTTTAGCCTGGTAGGGAAAAGTGGAGAGAGCACAAGGAGCAGTGTTTGCCACTTTGGACTTGGCAGGCTTGAGAGAAACAGCCGTGGGAACCCACCTCCTTTCTAGGGTGGGCCAGGGTGAGATGTGGTGGTGTGTGGTTTGGGTTCGGCGCTGGTTTTTGCCTCTTCCCTCATTGCCTGTAGGTTGTGGTAACTGCTTCTCTCTCCCTTGCATCCTTCCAGGAGGCGGCTGTGCTGCTGAGGAGCTACAGGCAGTTGATGAAGAATGTTCTTGAAGACGCACGTCTGGTCAGGCTGCAGCTGGAGGGTGGAGCGCTCCTGGCCAGGCTGAGGAAGGAGGAGTCTTGTGTCACCCTCACCCATGACTACAGGTGAGCCCCGAGAGTGGGAGGAGATGGAGGTGAGCAAAAAGGAGCCCTTGGGAGTCTCTGTGAGATGACTGACCCATCGTAGGTGCAGACTGGAGAGCAGCTTCCTGTGCTGAGGACTCTTGTTTAAAACAGCAACAATGAGAAGTGTAATGAATTTTACTCTTACCCTGACTTTCTTCCCCAGTTCAAAAACTTGTCTGGGTGGATTCACTTAGATAGTTCAGGTTTCTTTTCCAAGCCAGATCAGCTTCATCTTCTGTAGCAGAGAGAGCTGGATGCTTTGTGCATCTCTAAAACACAGGTCTCAACTGCTGATGCCAGTGATGAACGTTTAGGTCCAAGGCATTCCCACTGTGTGATTTACCAAGGTGCTCCTTATGCAAGGAGATTTCCAAGGACCTTAACTGTGAGGAATGCTTTCTGGCTGAAGCAAGCTCCGACCTCCTCGCACATTGGTATGATTTGCACAAACAAATATTCGCTGCCCGTTGACAGAATTGGTATGAGAAGGGGGGATGGAGAGAAGGCTGGCTGTGGGAAATCCCCAGGGCATTGCACAACTCCTGTTTGTACTCTGAAAACACCTGAAGCGTATCAGCGTGTGAAGGCCTCTGTGCTATGTGCTGTGCAAACAGCGAGGTAGAGGGACAGCACTTGTGTCTGGGAGCTTCCAGCCCCTGTGTGAGATAAATGCTGGCGTGTGGGAGCAGATGAGGGGGGAGCGGATGGCAGGAGTGGCTCTGTGCATCTGCAGCCTTGCTCTGGTTAAACTCTCTGCTATCACAAGCTGGGAGGTTTTAAGGGAGGGGATGGAGAGAAGATAACAAAATAGCTTGCAGGGTATCTCACCCAAAAACTGGGAAAAGAACAACATTTCTCTTTGGAAACTCAGCAAGTGGATGACAGTGCAAGTTGCTACCTGTCACTGGGAGATGGAGGTTGGCTTTTTGGTGTGGAGCGAGAGGGGAGTGTGGGGACAGGGATAACCATTTCTTTTTCCCTGCTTGCTGTGATTCCTGTCAGCAGCTCCCGCCAGCAGGCCGTGCGGCCACAATTTTCATGCTGAACTGGTGAAGTATTCTTGATGCAATTCTGGCTAGGATTAGTACAGTATAGCCTTTTGATTCTGATATGATGTGAGAAGCATAGATAATGCGGGTGTTGTGTTTTGGTTTTGTTTTATTTTAAGCAACACAGCAGCTTTAGAGTCTTGGGAGAATGTGCGTGTTTTTTATGTTTTGGTTTGGTTTTAAGCTGAGCCTGTGTTCTTGTCCAGGGAAATGATCAACTTTGAAACCTGATCTGACAGAGCCCCTAAAGAGAACTTAGGGCTTGGATTACCTTAGCAAGGCAGGGGCGGGGGATACACACACAGTTCTTTGATTGCACAGGGTTTGCGTGCATGCCGAGGCTGCATAGCATCTTCTCTGTTTAATTCAGGTTCTGTTTGTTGCCCGCCGGTATGAATGGAGAGTATATGCTGTGGGTCAAATATATGTGGGTGTCTCCAGCCTGAGGAGTGTAAATGAATATAGTGGGAGGTTAGTCCTCTTCTAGCCTGTGGAGGAGTTGCAGAAACTAAAATTTGTGCAGTATTTTAATTGAGGAAATGCCTTCTTGTCACAAAACTTGGGGCAAAGGACTTGAAGTCAATTCTTTGCTGTTCCAGCATCCTTTTAAATGGGGAAAAGCTCTATCACTTGGCCAGAGAACTCTATGTAAAGCACTGTTGGTTTCAAATTCTCCATGGCTCTGCACTTGCTCCTTAGCTCCAAACTGGTGTGCAGGTATTAACGGTTCTGAGCTCTGCTAACCCTAGGAAGGCTCCTGTGGTTATGATTTTTGAAGGCTTCTTTAATAGGATCAAAGTAGGGTAGGGTCAAAATACTGTTGGTGGTCTACTAAGCCAGCATAGAGTGGCTCTTGATGTATGTGGATCCAGTATTAGGTTTTTGACTGGTGACATGTGAAAATGGGTCAGGACCAGTTGCATCCTTGCACTCAGCAGGGCCTGTTGTGTTGCTTTTCTGAACTTTAAATTGTAAAATCTTGATCAATGCTTAACAGTCTTTAATTTCACACCCACTCCCCCAATACTTGTATGCAAATTCTTTGCAAAAGCAAGTTCAGTGGCTTTAGCCTTCTGAGCCACATTTTGGCTCTTGTGTTAATCATGTCCCGTTGTTTTGGTTTCTTCTCTCTTGGGGAAAAAATCCTCATCAAGCTGAGTGTCATACTGCGATGACTTCTCAGTCAGAAGTTGTGAGGCCAGCTGTGAACAGGTAACTGTCAAAATATGCACATAAATTTAAAAAAAAAACCATTAAAAAAAACTGTTAGAGCATGAGTTTTGTGGACTCTTCACTCCAGTTAGCTAAAATATACCCACCAGGAAGTGCAGAGCTAAAGGTAAAAGACATGGTTTCTACCAGAGGCACAAAGAGGACAAGCCCAGCTGCACCATCACCTTGGGATTACACAAGAAGAGATTTGTTTCTTTGCAGGGGATGTGTTTTGCCAACTCTCACTGCTTACCTTCTTGCTAGTTTGTGGCTTCACGTGGCAAAAAATACCAGGAGGTGGTAAGAATAGAGATGGACAAACCCATCTGAAAACGCTTGACTGCAGGTTAGAGATCTTATGCTAAAATAGGCAAGGAAGCAGGCTTGTGCTCTGCAGTCAGATGTTATCTGCCAAATACCTTTCTGGAGCACGTAGCAAACAAGACTTGCTTTAGTCTTTGTTTAGTAATGAAACTCTTCCCTTGGGGTTGGTTTTTGGCATGCTTCCCTGCTCTGCCCTCCTGGAGAGGGCCGAGGTGCCCTTTGGAGTGCTTCATGACACAGAGCAGCGGGATCTCATTGCTGCACAGGTCTGACCCAGGCTTTGCTAAGCCATTGACACAGCCCCTTTCCTGCAGGAATCGAACTCATTGTGTCAGAGACGTGGTCATGTAGGAGAGATGGTGTTGTGGTACATCCATTTGTTTCTTTGGCAGATGCTTTAAGAGCTGTTGGGAGTCCCCCTGGATGGGCCCATCCTGAGAGAGGCTGTAGCACCATAGCAGTGGCCTTGAGTAACTACTCGCTCTCTGTTTCCAGTGTGAGCTGACCAAGAGCCTCCATACTCCTTTCTCCACCTAGTACTGATGTAAGATAGCCTTGCCTATGCAGCTGCCTTTCCACAAAGGGAAAGAAAGCAGTCTTTCTGGATCTCAGCCTTTCTCTTGCTTTAAAAGGAGGAGCTCTGTTTCCAGAACACGCATCCTGCAGGCAGCCCATTGCAGGGAGTTGGCCAAGGGGATGGGGAGTGCTCAGCCGGTCCCACACTGCTCGCTCATCTCCAGGAAGCCCAGGCTGAATTTGGCATGGAGTTGTTGGGTGTGTGGTGTCTTCGTGGCGCCTGTTTAAGTGCCATAGTGCTAGCTGCAGCGTGGGCTGGCCACCCGCAGGCGCATGTGGAGCGCTGAAGGCGGCATTGCTGCTTGCTCGTTGGTGGAGCTGGTTGGGTTTAAAGCCAGCACATTTGCCTTCACCCCTTCTGTTAACTGAAGGCTTGGTGCTTCTCCAGGTCTGTTAGCTGGAAGCTTCCAGGTTTTGCTGTCCCAGTCTTTATGGGATTGACATGCAGAGCTATTAGCCTAGCTGAAGTTCCTGTTGGTAAATGCCATGGAGCCTCCATCACTTCAATGATACTACTGCTTATCTTTGCACTGTTGGACAGGAAATCTTTAATGAACATGGTCTTTTTAATAAGTTACGTAGAGTTGGTGTATCCTTGGCTTCTGGATATCTATTGTATTGATCAACCAAGCTGTGGTTTGCAGGCAGCTCCCTAAGCCAGTTGTGGAAGATGGACTGATGCATTGCATAGTTTATGGAGGATTTTGAAGACTTCTTTGACGCTTCCATCACCAGCCTGGAGAAGCTGCCAGGAGGTGGGCAGCAGCAGCGGGAGCTCTTACTAAAGTGACACAGTTACGTGGGGCTGGGCAGACAGACAGGGAGACTTAACGTGGTCTTTAGCCTGACATTTTCTACTGCTGTTCTCGTTAGTGCTGCTCTTCCAGCATAGCCAAGAGCTGGGAACGCTTGCCTAGAATAGGTGTCCAGTGATGCTTTCTGTCCTGTCGACAGGCTATGAGTCAGAAGTGCAGTAAAGTAAGGTATAAACATTTTATATTAATATAAAGATGCCATGTACTAGTTGGACCAGAATACACCCAGGGTATGCCTGGCTCTGCCAGCGAACCTGCATTCCCAGTGTGGCACAGGAGTGGGATTGCATCATGTTCTGCATGCTGGCAGGCAAGATAGCCGCAAGACTAGATGTCAGAGCTGAAAGAAAGAGAAGAACCTCAGACAGTGAAGGAATGACCAGGTTAGGTGCTGGGCTCTGTGCAACATGGAACCAGAAAAAGCATCATCTCTTCCCCCAGGCTCTTCACCTGAGAAGAATTTGTGCTTGCAAGCTGTGAATGAGCAGCTTATAAATAGTTGGAGGAGTGAATTCTCCTTTTGTTTGCAGAAGGCAGCCTAGTTAGCCTCTGTACTTTGAGGGTGGAGTGGCTAGAGCCAGGAGCTGGTTTTGTGAGCTGGCTATTTTTAGTGCGGCTCAGTGATCTGGTTGGAAGCCCTGGGTGGGGACCTGAGCTGAGCAGGGGTAATGGGCAGTGCAGAGCAGACTTCCTGAGCAGCAGCTGCCAGGTTCCTGATGCTGGACCTGACTCAATTACAGCAACAAAGAGGGTGATCTTAAGGCTAACAGTCTCTACAGCTCTTGTGCCTGGCTTCCACACGCTGTACTGAGGCACTAGGTCTGCTTGAAGCTGTGGCCGGTTAATGGGTTATAGCTGTGTGGGGCTGTAGGCGCTCTTTGTGGGTCTTTAGCAAGACTCCTGTTAGTAGCAACTCCTGGGATGCTCCAAGGCAGGGATGTGCCACTCTGCAAAGTGGTGTGCGAGCTCCTGGTGGCAGAAGTAAACTTGGCTAATGTACAAG